AGTCTGTCTCCTGCCCCTTACCTGTCTCTGTCCTCCCGTGGCAGCAGCTTTGCTCTCCCTTGCCAGGACAAGCTCTCCCACCTGCTGTCTCGCAGATGGGGAGGAGATGGCTCAGCCCGTCGCTGCCCCTGCGCTTTGACAGGTATTGTCAGAGCTCATCCTGACCCCGGTTTAGCTGTGGCTGTGTCAGAGCTAATTAACTGCGTTTTCCCTGAAACTGTGTCACTGACCTCCCAGGCCTGCGCCAGCCACGCACACCCCTCACCTGAGCTGGGCTTTAACCACCTCACGGTCACGTTTTCCAGGTGCCAGACCCACGTGTAAACACGCACGTACGGCTCTGTGATGCTTGAAGCCCCAATGGGCTGTAAAACAGTTTGTACTTTCCTTCAGCCTCGCAGGTCTTCTTTGAGAAAACGGTATCTGTGAGAGCCGCCGCACACACTTACCTTCCCTTGCCAGCAGCCCCAAAGTGCCTCCAACGCCAGCGTGGGGCCGTGCCCCCACGGGCTGCCCAGCACCCACAGGGCCGGCTGGAGCCTCTCCCAAACCCGGTGGGCACCGGCTGAGGCCCTGCCACAAAAGGGGCTTTGTTCCGCTCGCCGCCGCGCGCTCCGGGGCTGTTCTCACACGCACACAGCCGTCGCGCACACCCTCCTCCCCTGGCACACCGAAACCTCCCTGCGCCGAAAACCTGCTGCCACCTTCCCCAGCCGGGTCGGGATGGTGGGAGAGAAGCTGCATGGGGGGCATAGGAGGTCCCTGCCACAGGGATGGGAGCAGGGGTCCCCCGAAACCCCCTGGGGACACAGTGGGTTGGTTCATGAAAGAGACTGAGAGCCTGAATGCTGCTACCCTGGAATCAGGACAAAATCCACCCCACCCCACCCCGCTTTCAGCAAACCTGAAACCTTGTTAGCACAAGGCTCCATTAAGTGAGCAACGCACATGCTACGGGAACAAATCCCCAGAGGTAAAAATAAACAGAAATTAAAATTCAAAACAAAACAAAACCACCAGCTCAAACCCTTTAAGTGAGATTTCAATACTCGTTCCAGCTGCGCTGACGGCAGGGCTGGGTGAGGGGCAGCCTCCATCCCTGGGGAGAGGGACGGGGTCAAGGCCAAAGGCAGGAGAAGCCCTGAAAACCCAGGACCAAGGGGCTGCCTCACCCCGTCACTGGTCTAAGTCCCTGTTACTCATCCCTCACTGCCTAGAGCACAGTCCTGTATTTTATTTCAGCTTCTAACAATAAGCCCGGGCAGGGGCCTGGAGGGAGGGTTATTCCTTCAGCTGCTGGAGGAGAGACGAGAAACCAGCTGAGTTTTATTTTGTCAATATCAGGTCCCCCCCAGCCCCTCTGGGAGCAGCGGGAGTACACGGAAAGGGCTCGGCACTGGGAGGGAAACTGATGCTCTCAGATGAGGTTAACCCCCCGCACCGGCAGCAGGAGGACGGCGGGTGCCGTGGCTGTTAATTACTCGCCGAGGAAGCGGGGACACCCGCCACCACCGGGATTAATTGAGCCGTCAGCGCCAGAGCCCCCCGCTCAGCCGCGGCTGCCTAAAGCCCCCGGCTTCGACCCCGCGCCCAGCTGCCTCCCGCGAGCAGGGAGCCACACGCTGCGCCCTGGGGTTCTTCCCTGATGTGCTCAGGTTCCGTTACCTGCTTTAAAAGAAAAATAATTGCTATATCTGGACAGCAGTTCTGGCTGTCTCTTGGCTGTAATCAGGGCGGTGAGCGGGATGCAGGGTCAGGCTCTGCGATGGAGAACGGCTGTCATGCTCCATACCCAGGTCCTGGTGGGGCTCAGGGCACAGCCTGGACGTTTTGGGGGGGTGCAGTGTGATGTGGGCCCACATCTTGGTGCATTTTAGGGACTCAACACAATCCCCCAGCGCTGCGGGTGCATCAACCCCGCCAGCCTGGGGCTGCCTGAAACCAACCGACTCCTCTGTGTGCAGGAAAATGGGACAACATTAAAGCTAATTCTGCTAGAAAAATGAAAGAAGGGCCAGTTCTTTGCCCCATTGCTCACACTGCCCTGGGCAGCGGGGTGCAGGATTGGGCCCAAACACCTGTGACAGCTCCCATAGCAGCCCAGCACCCCAGTCCTCGAAGACCCAGTTGATGGGATTACACCTTGTGGTGTCATCACCAGGCACATTCCTGCAGTTAATCCAGGTGTTCCTGTGAAGAAAGCCACAGAAAGGGCAATTTAACAGTATTAAAAGTTTCTCCAGTCCTGGCCAGGTGAAATAACCTTGGCAGAAAATAGGTGCCCTGCACAGTGCTGCCCCAGTCCCCTTCATGCTGCTGCCAAAAACCAGCACAAGCATGAAAACACCCTGCGATCACCCCTGCCCAATGGCCTGGGCAGCTCTTTGTGCTTTTCAGCCTTAAAACTCCATTTTCAGCTACATTTTTCTGAGCATTGGATGATGCAAGTGTTTGGGTTTGGGTTTTGTTTTGTTTTGTTTTCCTTTCTCTGTTACCTTCAACATGCAGGGGGAAAAAAAAAAAAAAAAAAAAAAAAAGTAATATATTAGAGCAAAATCCCCTTCTTGTTCCCTGGTGACAAGCATGGGGGCAGGTGGACCTTTACACACCAGCTGGATGCTTCCCCTGTCCCACACTGCACTGAGGGCTCTTGGCTTCAGACTAAGGAAAAAATAAGGTGATACTTTTTTTTTTTTTTAAGGGATGTGGGGAAAGGGGCCGTGCTTGCTGCTTTGTATTCTGCTACTGAAAGGACAGAGGAAATTAGTTTTCTTTAAGCAAACTTTAAAGGACAGGAAATATTGTGACTATTTTGGGCTGCCGGCCTGTCCTCAGCTTACCCCAAGACCATGGCGGTGGGATGGGCAGCACTGTCGGGCTTTGGTGGCTTAACCAGCACACTGGCCCTGGCTTTGTTTTACCAGGAGAAAGCTGCTGCGCTGCCAGGGCAGGTGGCTATTTTTCATCACCAACACCTAACAAAATGACACCAAAATAAAAAAAAAAAAACAAACAAAAAAACCCCCAACAACCAAACAGCAAATCCCCTAGGAAAGACCCGTTCCTGGAGGAAAGGATTTCCAGCCAGGTTTGCACAGCTGGGTCCCTCTCCCCCCATCCCTGGCAGAATGCTTCTCTGCTGAGCTCGTCCCTCATTTTTTATGTCTCATCTTTTTGTGCTTTTGTGTTTACGGCAGCACCTCATCAAGTTCCTCTGACCGTCAGGTTCTGCTAATTGCTCCTTCATGCCAAGCTGTGACCCTCCTGTTCCTTCCCCTGCCAGCACGGGCGGAGCCCTGGCACAGCACCAGCTCGCTCGGTGCCACCGTCCGGGTGACCCAGAGCCCGGCAGCGTGCCGTGACCGAGGCGCTGCCCCTCCGCTGCTCCCTGCCCGAGCAGCTCCGCTAACAACGGCCTGGCCCTGGGGCTGAGCCTCCCTTAGGCGCTTGCGGTGCCCACATGAACTGGGCGAGTCTTCCTCCACCCTGTGAGCACTCGGCGCTGGACGGAGGGATGGGGGCTTGGAGGTTTGAGGGGACAGAAGACCGATGGGGGACCCCAGCACTGCCACCATTCCCAGCCAGACCTGCTGTCCCCGGCCCTCCCCTGCGGCTGCGGGTCCCTGTTCAGCCCCAGGGCCCTACACTGGCACTTTATGGGGATGTGCTGACTGAAAGGAGCATTAAGGCAGCTGCATCCTGCCATGGGGCCACACTCCCTGTGAAAAAAATTACCCATTGGAAGCTCTACTATACAATGTCATCCTGGTTTGGGTTTTTTTTATTTTTTCCCCTCTGTCTTTTGACAATAGGGTCTTCTACACAGCATGGCCGAGGAAGGTGTTTGGCTGGGCACAAAGCCCCCCACCAGCTGCCGGTGGGTGCTGCGGGGTCTGGCTGCGGGTGCTGGCTGTGGGGCTGTGATGCTGGGGCTGAGCCCCCACGCCATGTACAGGATGGGTGTCCCAACCCTGCACACCGTCACCCCAGAGTCTGGTTATTGCATCAACAGCAATTTGGGCCGGTTTCCACACTATTAAACACTTCAGCGTGGTCTTCCAGACCAAATAAACCTTCCTCTGGGGACTTGTTGGGCTGACCTCTGGGAAAGGGGGTTTCCCTTTGATTGCCACCACACTGATGGCCTGCCCCTTATGGCTGTAGCAAGCAGGGCCCCATGCGAGAACAGGACTTTTAAAATTGTGCCAAATTTTTCCAAATATATAAACCTGCCTGGTTTTCTTATGTAAACACGGCCCAGCTCCTCTTTTCTACTTGGTTTCTGATGGAGGAGGCAGCAGCAGACATTAGTCAGCTCTGCCACAGCCCACAAGGCAGTGGAAAACAATAGCGGTGTGAAAACCAGCTCAGCTTTGCTCAGAAACTGCTCTGAGAGCTTCACATGAACCCAGGAGCAGAGAAATTCTCCAGGGGAGCTGTGGCAGGCAGCGGGGCCAGTCCCGGGAGGTGCTCAAGCACTGCTGCTGCCACATCCAAGGGCAGCATGTATCCATCCCTGCTACCCTCCTGCCTCCAAAAACAAACCCAGGGAGAACCCCCTAACCCCAAAGGTCCCACTGCACCAAGGGCTGAGGCAGCTCCTGCACAGGCGCCTGACATGGCTCACAGCTGCTTGGAGAAAAAGCAATTAAAAAATATTGAAATTAAAAAAAAAAAAAAAAAAGTCATTCCCACTGAGACTCACACTTCCAACCACCATCTGCATTTGGACATTAATTACCTTTGCTGTGTGGGGAGGAAGCAGCCTGGATGAGATCTGGGGAGGGTGGGGATAAGGGTGGGGATTGGGATGAAGATGAGGATGATGCCAGGGATGGGGTTGGGGATGGGGATGAGATCACCTGCGGCAGGTGCTCAGCATCAGGGGACCCACAAAAGAGTGGGTTTTGGCAGTGGGCAGCCAGCCAGGACACACACCCGACCCTCGAGGCTGCATGTCTGTGGCAATTTGGCAATTTGGCTTTCCAAATTTCCAGCGCCGTCAAAGTCCTACCCTGAGCCACCCTGGCTCCACCATCTTTCATTTCTGAACAGCCTGAATGCTGTCCGCAGAGCCAACGCCAGCGAAGCAAACAGCCTTTATCTGCCCCATATCGCAGCGTGTTTGCTCTGGAAGTTTGTTTTATGGTGGAATTACTTTAAACTGTGCCCTTAGTATGATCCCTTTATTAAAAAGTCAATGGAGCACAAAGGTATTGTTCGTTTTTTTTTTTTTCCTAAAACAGCGGGCGAGGGGTGTAGCAGGACCATGACAAAGTCCTCCCAGCACCCTCAGCTGCACAGTGGGGATCCCCAATTTCTAAGACACTCAAGCCCAGCACACTGGAAATGTTGGAGCTGATTCAGGTCAATTAAAGTTGAGGTTTTTATTGAATTAAAGTGTGAAAGTAAATACAGCCAGCCCAGTATTCAGTCTGTTATTTTTTTGATGTTAATTCAATTTTTTTCACCCTGCTCATAAATGTGATTTAAAAGGTGGTAGAGATCCCTGGGCTGGAGGAGAGCCGGGAGATGGGTTTTGGAGCTTGGAAAGGATGCAGACGGGTTTCTTGCACCTGGGAAAGCGTCAGCAGCAGTTTGGACGTGAGGAATAAAAGCGCTTCTGGCAACCGCAGCCAGGTGAAATCCAGTAAAAGAGTGGGGGAAGGAAACCTCCTGGGATGCGGCTGCACTGCAGCTCAACATGCCTTGGCTGGGGAGTCTCGGATGTCTCCAAGGCTGCCCATGCTCCATGGAGCTCCAACTGGGACCAAAAAAACCCTGAATCTGCTCCAGTCAGCGCAGTAACTCACACTGAGAGCATGCAGACCTGGGTACAAAAGCATTTGTTTAAAATAGGTCCTAAGGTGGGCAGCGTCCCACCAGCCCAGACATCACCACATCCCAGAGCAGAGGAGGAACAACCCGGGGGAACCTGGAAGCATCCGCCCCAGGCAAGGCGCTAACCTGCTCCATTTTTAATTCCTCTGAAAGATTTTCTTTCCAAAAAGCTCTTGAGTGAGGCTGGCAGTGGAAGCAGAGTATTTTTAGCAAGTATTCATGCGAAACAACTTAGGCTAATAATTTGCAATGTAAAGTTAGAGCTTCAACAAAAACTCAGACTAAGCAGATTTGGGGTCAGCAGGACTTTCTTGCTGATTTTGCTGAAAGGAACCGTACAGCCAGGTCCAGGGAAGCTGCGCGGAGGCTGGAGCTGGTCACTGATTTTTCAGGGCAATAAAACCCCACTGTGCCTAAAGGACCAAAACTTGAAATCCTTCCATGGACTGTGACTCTGCAAAGTTACATATAAATATTTAACCTGTAAATAGCCGCATCAAGCACGACTGTCACTGAAAGTACAGCGCTGCCTTTCCCGGACCCACGCTTTCCGTCTCCGTTGCTTCTTTTTGCCATCACTGATCCTTGAGCAAAGAAATGAGCTGCTGGGAGGGAAGTGCTTTTAGAAAGCAGTGGTAATAAATCCCCTGGTGCCCCCCCCTGAAGTTTCACATGGCGTTTAACTCCAGCAACTGATGAACGTTCATGAACGAAGAGCCAAGCGTGGTCTCGACACACCGGCTTGAGGCTCACAGTGATTCTGGCTGTTTCTCCGACAGCCCACGGGACAGCCAGGCTCTCCAATCTACCCCACAAACATCCCTACCAGGAGGAAGGGCCAAGGTTGGCTTTAGGCGCCTTTGCAGGACCCCCACGATGTTCACCTCAGCCCCTCCTGGCCACCAGCTCCACCATCTGTGGGTGATCACCCACCCAAAGCTGAGCTGCTGTCAGACCCCAGGGAGCTCTGGCGTGGGGACACCAAGCCCTCGACAAGCAACGCAGGGCCAGGGAGCAAAGATACCTGAAGGGTGAGTGAGGATGGCCATGGGTCACCCCATCTGTGCTTCAGAACACGGTCCCTCAGCAGTCACTGGTGGGACATGGCCCCTGCCACAGCTCAGCTGCCACAGCGGGCCCCCAAAGCCCTCCAGAGCCACCAACCTGCCAACTGCGAGCCACGGGCCAGGGCGAGTGCAGCCAATGTGGGCGAGGACCCCACGTCTCTCACCGTGAGCCCCAGGAAGATGGAAATGGCACCCATGGGTGTCCAGAAAAGGTGTTGAAGGGCTGCAAAGCTCTGCTTGGGTGGGAGTTGCATTGCTGTGAGTGTGCCCACAGCACGGCATCTGACACAGACTGCATACACTAGAAGAATGAGGGAAAAGAAATGTCTCACATTTTAAATTGTTTTAATGCAGAAGAGAAGCATCTCAATATAAAGCAAACCTCAGCGAATGCCTCTTGGTCACCATGTTCTTCAATTTCAGGCTGACACCATCTCGTTTTCTCATACCTTGTTTTTTCTTAATGGATTGGAGGAAAACCCTCCTGGGTTCTCCAACACCAACTGACTTCTCGGCATGAAGCAAACTTCTCTTCGAAACAAACAACCGGAGTAAACTGCAAATGAAACGTTCCAGCCCCAAAAGGGATTTTTGTCAGAGGCTGGGCTAGCACTTGCCAGCCAATGACTTCCACCTGGTCAAGCTCCTTACAACCTGGGCAGCACATACCACTTATTTTAGCATAAAATGGGTTTTATAAGGTTAGAATTTATCATAGACAGTTATATTTTGAAATTTAGCTTTAAAATGGATTACTTTTAAGCTGTGAGTCCATAAAATATGTGGTCAATTAAGATGTGGGGCCTCAGGAGTTGCCTGCAAGCCTGGTGTAAAACCTGCTTTTAATGCTGTTGGACAGATTTGGTAACTGAATCAGAACTGCGGCAACAGAGACAAAAAAACCCAATACCAGATGGGTGCTTTTCATTAAATGGCTTTTTCCATTTACATGCATTCTGTTTTTACCGGCTGTTATGGGCTAAAAAAAGTCCTACATAATCATGTTAATAAATACAGTATAAGTACAGGGCTTTTCCCCCTGTCTTTTGGTACAGTGCTCTAGGGTTCATATTCTTCAAGCTCTTTTCTGCAGCCACAAATACTAGTTGTTTTTACTTTTTTTCTTTTCCTTGTGTGAAGAAATAATTCAGTAATCCCTAAGATTCTTTGAGACTTAATTTTTACATAAAAAACCCTCACACCAATATTAATCGACTGTGATAAGACTGGCAGAGCTATTAAAAATAAGCGCTCAACACATTTAATAATTATTTTTACTGTGGTTTTGAATACACAAAACATTACTAAATTATTCAGCCTTGTCATCATATGCATTTAAAATGTATAGTTATGGATGCTTTCAGACAGCAAAAACACTTTTAATCTTTTCACGAGGAAAAACTTAAAAACCTCTGTTAGAGACGACCAGCTGCCCCAGGGAGTCACACAGCTCATCAGTGCAGGCAGCGGCAGGAGAGTGCACCAGAGTCTGATGAACGGGTTTGTTTTCCCTTTCCCTGGAGCCAAGGTATGTGGCATTAAGTTTATTCCAGGCCAAAACACAAAACAGAGGTCAAAACCCTTTGTAAGAGGGAGATCCTTTCACCTGGACTTCCCCAAACCGCTTTACCTTCGCGGCTGTGCTTACGCTGTTTGAAGAGATATGGACTGAGGCAGACGACATGAGAAGCTCCGATTGCAAATAAAAAATCTTTATTGCATCTTAGAAGCAAGTCTTAAAAAAAAAAAAAAAAAAAAAAAAGAGAGAGATATTTTCCATGCACTGAATCCATCCAAGTACCTACATCCTTGGGACTGTCACCAAAAAACGATGAACATTATATAAGACATCGACTCTACACTAGTTGCAGTTCATATTCCATACACATGTAAACAATGGTTATTTCTTCTACTGGAATAGCAATTACTCCATAAGATCCCTTCAAACATGGCAACAACCTATGCATCAATTTTTTCTGTTCCTTCACTAGTCTTCACCTCCCAAAGAGTAGGCAAAGTGGAACTGAGAGCAATGAGAAGAAATGGTGCTGGAGGATACAATAGAAAAATATATTGTTCGCTGGTTTTTATTTTTTGTTTCTGCTGAGCAAGATATTTACAGGTAGGTAGGTCCCAATAGATCATCTGCTCCAATGACAATGTCCATTCACTGTCTAAGTCTCAGTGTAAAGGGCTCCCTTTCTGGCTTTAAGGCACTTTATTTTGTGTATTTTTCTCTTACCTTGCTAGGTGTTAATTCACAGGGATCACACTTTCCTTGTATTCGGCCTCCCCATCCCCAGTTCCTCTTACAATACCAAAAAAATTCCTAAGCTTACTGATGTCATTCCAAAAATGTCAAAAGAAATTTGGGAAAAAAGATTCATGAAAAAATATTTTAGAAAGTAATCTTTGGAGATCATTTACTGCAAGTATGATGTACACTACCTTATCAGTGAGAAGATGCAATACATTCCTAATATATATATATATATTTACACACACATATATATATATATAAAATATTAAAATGACTAACAGATATTCAAGGAAAGGTCAAGAACCTAAAACAATGGATATTAAATAAATTAACAGTCTATCAGATACAGAAAAAAATAATCCCAAAACAAAACTAGTAATCAAATGTAATAATTGTTCCCATTAACATCACATAACCGACTGAACAATATCAATGCAATCAGGTGCAGTACACTCAGTATAGAAGATTTTTAAAAGTTCTCGTTAGGGATCTCTAATTGTTCGTTATGTACTGTCGCTTTGCTGCAAGATTCGCATTCCCATCCTCTTCCCCTCCCTTATTACGCTTCGGCATTTCTTGATCACATCGTCTCAGCTCTAGACAGGACAGCGGTTGAGGATAATACACAGAACCCACCACGGATTCTTAAAACATTACGTCCATATATGGACCAAATATATAAGACAAAAATTTCTACAAGGACTAATGGGATAGCAGGTTGTGCTTACTTTCTTCCCTCCCTTGAAGTCGTCTGGCCATAATAAGTGGAAGTGTATTTTTAAACTGAAATAATCAGCCATTTGGAAAAAAAAAATCTGTGATTAATACCCTTATCATCGTCACACTGATTTGTTTTGTTCTAACGCAATTTAAAAAATAATGGCTATCCTTAACAAAAGAAGCGGAATCTTTGCACTGTAGCCATCACAACAAAACATTTAGATACACCGTTTTGTCACTTGGCTTGCACGCTCAGGTCCCAATTTACAGAATCCCAGCAATGAAGACAGCAATGGAAAAGGTAAGAAACAATCTTTTGTTCATAAGGAAATTCTAATTCAAGTCAGATTTCCGCTGATCAGTCAGATAACTCTTAAACAATTTTTTTGTTTGAAGGCAAATATTGATCACAGTTCTGTTCAAAACCAAAAACACAACAACAAAAAAAAAAACAACGGCCTTGTTCTTCTCAAAACGAGTGCTTTGTAAGAAAACAACGATGATTTCTAAAATATATCCTGTGTGGTCTTTTAAAAGTGAATTATCAAAAAACATTTTCCCAAAAATAAATTAGATAATTAAAAAAAAAGTCTTTTCCAGCATAGCTGGACATTAGGCTGTCCTCACTGAGCCATTAGTATTGCTGCTTTTCCCAAAATTTGGGTCATTTTTTTCAAACCATATTTCAGCCAGCTGTTGCGTGGACCCATAAGTTGATGCTTTGGACCCCAAGCACATTTTATATTGTTTTGGATCAAGATTAGGGTCACAAAAAACAGGGTGATGCACATGAACTACTCCAATTTCTTGGCTTCGGAAAGTTTTTAAGCCAGCTTGAATGACTTTGTTAAACAGGTCTACGTCTTCTAGGCCCCAACCTTGGATGGAGACATCAAAGCCACCTGCACGAAGAAGATCACCTTTGTAAATACAGGTAATACCAAAGCCATAGTTCCTCCAGAAACCTGTTTTCTGGGTGAAGGCAAAATGATTGTCACTAGGAACTTTTCCACTGTAAACAATCTTTGGATCATACTGGCTAAAAATGATGGGAAAGTATACTTGTTGACCCAAAACTGTATTGGCTCTACACCGCTGGAGAAATTCTGTGGTAAACACTAAGTCAACATCACAGAAGAAAAGTAAAGACTCGTTCCGGAACTGAGAAGATCCGACTTCCAGAGCCAGTGCCCTCGAGAACTCCCCTGACACCGGTAAAACCTGCATGTCAGCCTTGGGGTATTTGGAGCGGTAATCTCTCATCAGCTCAATCTGCTTCGCTTTGTCAGGGTTGGAGTTGGAATTGAAAAGCAGGACAACCAGCTTGACGTTCTGGTTTGGAATGAGGCATGTCTTTTCAAAATTCCCCATGAACCTTGCAAACATGTCAAAACGTCCAGAGAGAGGAATCAGGATGTTGATCTTCTTGTCTTTGAGTTCTTTCCTCTCGACTTTTGATCGGCTGAGCTGGAAGGGAACAAACATCTTCAGCGAGTTGGAGAGGAAAGACAAGGATCCAGAATCCTGATTAATTTTGCTGGCCAGCTCTTTGGCGTCCATCTCTTCGTGCTCCATGAACTGGATCTTGCTGAACGTCTGCTGCAAGTACGCGTGCCTCCTGACGGGGACGGTCATCTTCTTCCCCTTATGCTTTTTGTAGAGAAGCAACAAGTCAAGAACATACTCTGCTCCATACATGGGATTTACTCTGCGATAGCCATACTGTATTTCCTTGAAATCAATGATCCTCCCCCGGGTCTTAGCGTTGGCGTTGATCATTTCCATGACCTGCATAACAATGTCATCCAACGCTTCACGCTGAGAAGAGTCCATTCCTCTCCGAGGGGGCTGCCCGTCAGCACCCGAATACAAATACTTTCCTGTAAGAAACTCCCACTCCAAGATTTCCTCCCTGTGGCGGGGCTGGAATCGCATGAAGGAGGGTGGCATCCCCAGCTGCAGGTCATCTTTGTGGATTTCTGTATTGCTGTATTTGCTCATCAGGACGATTTCCCGGTGCAGCTGTACAGTCCGGTGGCGCAGCTCTGCTATCTTGCGGCTCAACATGTAGCTGTGAAGTCTGTACTGGTACGGGGGGTTCTTATTGGGGTGCAGTGTTATGGCTCTGTGTATTTTGCTGTTCCTCAGGTCTCGGATATAACCTTTTTTGTTCTGTTCATAATTTTCATAAAACAGCTGCTGCATCTAGAAGAGAGAAAGGAGAAGTTAGCGTCTTGGCAGTGCTGTCCTTGTGAAAGTTAGCCCACGCAACCTCCCGCAGGGAGAAAACTCCTCGCTCGCAGGGCCAGGCAGCTTTCTGAATAAACTGTTCTTGGTTTTAGGCACAGGTTGTAGCAATACCAGCTGCTATTCAAGGAAATTAAGAGGATTATTCATTGTAAACTGGTGAAAGAAACATCGACCGTGGATTTGGGATTACTACAGCCCATTCTAGAGATATCACCGTCGGCCAAACAACTGAGCAGTAAGTAGATTGTAAGCTCATTTTTTCACAACAACATAGCATCACCAGGAAAAAACAAAATGAAGTGTTTGCTACAAAACTCTTACTATTCATCTGCTTCCCAAGGGCTTTAACAAGAATAATAAAAGAACAATAAAAAAGGATGCCATGTACATAGTAAGCAAGTGTGACGACACCTTTTCCGTTACACCCAAATGCTGTTTAGGCATTAAAAATCCAGCTTGCTGAATGTTTTAGTCAGGTTGCCAAATACATTATTTCAAGTGCTGCAATGCAAAGCTACGGTTCCCCTGTCCTTTTAAAATGTCAAAAGAAAGTAAAATGCGCCTGAGATTCCTAGCAGCGGTTGCAGAAAGCAGGTAATGCAGGATGCATATGTACACTAGAATAAAAGCATCCTTAAAGTGAAAATGATATTTCAAAACAAGAAGATAGCGAGCTGAGATTAGATTCACGAGCCTGATGGAAAGCCACAGCCTAAGAAAAGCAGACAAACCAGCTTTACAGTTTCCAGTAGCTCAGGCAGTAGCTGATATAATGCAAGGCATGTGCAAACCAGGATGATACATGGAAAATAAACTGAAAAAAAACCTAACCCGAGAGAGAAAAAAAAAACACCTCAAGGCTAAAGTTATATACCAGCCTAGACAACGGACACCTAAAAAGATCACGGGCTCTTTCTGTGTCACAACACAGATGCCATCAACCTGCCAGAGGAGCTGACAGGACAGCTTCATTCCAAACAGGATCCAATCTATGTTACTGGCAGCAGAATTTGCTATAGGTAATATAGTCAATAAAGCACACATAAAAAGGGCCATAAAGATTAGCAGAGAGCTAAAATCCAAAAGATGAACAGAACTGAGAATGACTCAAATATGATGGCAATTAAACAGAGCACTAAAAGGAAAATCACAGGCACAGAAAGCCTCCCTTTAACAGACAGTGCAAGTGATGCTTCTACCAGCTGCTCAGACCCAGCCGAAGTCCTGTTTTATTAGGCCTGCAGTTGCATTTTTCCCATTACTGTGGACAGACACTGAATCTAAGGGATAAACTTACACCTGGATTTAATTGCCGCTATCTTAACAAACCAGATGTGCACACACTGAAACCCGAAATTCAGCGTATCGCTGTGGTCAGCACAGGAGCAAGCTGCGTTTATTTGAAGCGGCTCACACGGATTTTAATCTGAACAAACGTAATTCATTTCAAAGGAGGGAGGGAGGAATTTCAGCCGGACTGAGAAAGAAAGGCCATTTTTTTCATGGGTTCAATGGGGTTTTTTCAATCCGCCACCCCTTCTCCTCTCCTGCTCAAGTTCACTTTCTTGCCCACTCCCCCCCAAGTGACTCCTGCTGCTTTCATGCCATCTGTGAGCAATTCAGGCCAGAGCCTGCCTCTTATTAGATAGATCCCGTACTGCAACGCAGCCAAAGGAGAACATCTTGGCGATGGCCTCTTGGCAAGCCACAGACGAACTGCCTGTCAAGATGTATATCCCTTTAGAAGTCATGCAAGATTTAAAAGAGTGCTACAGGCAGAGGTTAGTTGGTCTAATCCTATGTTCAGCTCAGAGTTACCCAGACTGAATGAATTTCATGTTTTCCTGAGAAGCATGTTTTTCCACTCACCCGAAGACTGTTCTTCATTTGTACCCCTATTTTGTTTCCTCTACTAATAACACTTTCTTTTTTGTCCACTTTGAACCTCGCTGCTTCTGTTAAGGGCTCCAGGAGACCTCAAATCCTACCCACTTATGGTCAGTCCTGTAAGTACAATTTATTACAGTTGAGAGCTCACACAGCAAGAACAAGACCAGCTCAACACTGCAGGACCCACACATATATTTTTACTGACTCCACTGGTTTATCCTCTCCAACTCTCTCTCTCTATCTAGGATGAGAAGTATTAAATGTGTATGGTAGCAGAATTCACTGGCATTTTAGCTACAGTACAACTATAGGCACAGGCTTTCCCAGGAGTATTGTGACATTAGGTAAAAAAAATCATGTCATTCAGCAACTATTATTTAAAGGAAAATTGACAATAGGACTTAACTTCAAATCTCATTTTGAATTTATAAGAAAACAAAATCAAGACCATACAGCCTGAATGCATTTATTCCAAAATTGCCATCTAGGGCATTCTGAATTAGCTGCAGGAGGAAACCATGAGAAGCAGAAAAGCTTTTAGATTACACAACAAAGTTTTAATAGAATACTGATGGGTAGGAAAATGTTATGAAACTTCCCAGTGGAAGTAAAGATATGAACTCCTAGCAAACGGCCCCAAATAAAATTAACAAGTGTATTTTAAAGCTCTGGCTTGCCATGCAGGGGTAACCTCTTAGCTAGGCTGGTTAACTACTGAACTTTTAGTACTACTGTTTGCCTCTTCCACAAACTAGCTATCTTCAAAAACTAAACTGAAGATAAAACATACCTCAGCAAGACTTTACTGGTGCTTCAAAGCAAAGCAATTTACAACTGAAACATGTATTAATGGCCACCTTGCTCCAGCCAAAAAGGTGACAACTGTAACAAACCCTGCACTCCAGCCAACCCTGCAGTGCAACTAATGAGAAGCACCACAGTAGCCAGGCTTTTATATAACCCTGTTTTTTCAGAAGAATGCCTTGCAAGGCTGGCACTGTCATTGTTTTTCCTATAAAGTCTCCCCCTCTCCTACTCCAGCGTCCCTCTTGTCTCCTCGCACTCAGCAAGTGGCAGCAGGCAGGGGACGTGTCAGCATCCTGCAGCCCCGAACCCCGGCCTGGACCCAGTGTACACCCACACCGGTAAGAAACACACCCAAGGGTACGGGAAGGTGTTAATCAATTCCTTGCAGAGAGTATAATGACTTACAAACATTTTTGCACAATGGCATGAAAGTGCTGCAAATAAAGCCCAAGTGGCCAGCAGCCAACAGAGCAATTTAACCCCTCCTGGGCCAAGGCACCTGCAGACACTGACCCAATGCTGCACAAGTGCTGTGATGCTCGTGGGCTTCCCTTCACAATAAGGAGCCCCATGTGGACTGCATTTTCTCATCCCCATCTACAGAATTTGAAAGAGATGAGCAGTTCCCTCCAAACAGTTTGACAGCTCCACCAACATTAATTTGCTTAAATCATTACGGCAGTGCTAGTCCTCTGCACTGGGTTCAATCTCAAACAAGGGCAATGCCCGACTCGCCCATCACTGCTAACGTAGTTTCTACCTCACCGGAGTCCAAAACATTATGCTCAATATTACCTATTAGCACACACAGGTTTTTGACTCCACGCAATACCAGAAAGCCATAAGGAAGACAAAAAATCGTAATTACCTCTTGTGTACATCATTAATAGGTGGGTGGGAGAAGACGACACAGAAAGTAATACCCGTAATTTATTTGTTCCTCCCACGTAGCAGCCATTAAACACACGTGTGGGGAGTGACACGAGCCTAGAACGTGCACGTCTCTAACAGACATTACGTGCAAACTTCCCCAGGCCTGTTACCAGACTGTTGTGAGTTGAACTCTTGCAAACTCTTCTTTTAGTGAAACAGGTTTCTCTATGATTCTTTTCAAAAAAAGAACCTTTCATGGATATTAATTCTGCACTGATTATATTCTAAGCATGCTTTATTCTAGTGCAGAGCACTGAGAGAGTAGGGATACAAAGAAGAGCTACTCTTTATTGACCACTATTTACTCTAGACCTGTTGAAGCCTTAAAAACCCTAATGTTCCCCAAACCATTAGAGACTGAATGTTTAAACTGTGGTACAGCTGTTGTGGGCACTACTGGCTCATGTCCAAAAGACCAACTGAAAGGAGAGAGTGTTATGTTCTTCATTTTAAATGAAGAAGTCTTTTGCAGGCCAAAAAAAGTGTACTGGAGAAAATGGACTTTAAAAATAAGACCAGTTTATGCAGAAACTGGCCCGCAGCCACAGATTAGCCCCTAAGGGCTTTCTCTCACAGCTCCAGATTGTACTACCATAGCCCAGAAAGCGCAGCCCCACAAGTCTCATGAAACGCAATCATGGACAGGACATGTTGTACGGCAGGTCTCAGAATGCCCAAGATGTGCTTTAAATACAAAGCCAAACTAATTAAAAGCTCTAAAGATGGCTAATGTCACCTAGCATATGAGCAGCTCAGCTGGGGGGAGATGAGCATGCAGGTCTCTCTCCGCAGCTGGTACAGAGCTGTTCTCCTTCGGGAGTAACGCAGGCGCCGGGACAGCCGTTACCCTGCTCCACAGCTCTGCTGCCAAAACTACGCAGGGTGCTCGTCCCCATCTCCCCCTTGCTCCTCCTTCCAGAGGTGCAGCCGCAGTGGTGCAAGGGGCAAGTTCCTCTTGGTTGGCTGAAGTGAAATGAAAGATGTTTTGCACCCATATCCCAAGTAACTGCATGAAATAATTGTAGCTGCACTAACACCGCTTTGCCACTTTGGATTGATTAACCAAAACAGATCACTAGTTTTCTGGTTTTTAAAATCGCCAATATAGCTAAATTGATAAAATATTTTGCACGTAGACACAATGGAAAGCAGCAGTGGGTCTTCATTTACTGCTGACTGGCCTATGGTGGAAAGAGAGACTGCAGTGACCCCCCCTGGATACATCTCTGTGTGTTCAGGGTTCTTATTAACATGATATTTCTGTTTTAAATCCCGATGCTTTATGTGAGATCCCACAGCTAACCACTGACATGACTGAAGTCACT